AACACTATTCAGAATTCAGCTCGATGAATGCAATGTTTGCTCCGGGAGTTGGTCGATACCGAAACAATTTCAGAATGCAATAATTACGAACGAAGAAATGGAATCGACGGAGCTGGAATAATAAGATCTCGTCATTTGTTTAGGAGAAACAGCATTCTTGGAATCATGATTCTTGAGAGTCTTATTCTTTGTGATATGAAGGAATCGTTCACGGGATCGCCGAAAGATTTTTGCAGTTTAATTTGGGGCCATTCATTACAATCCCGAATAATAACTGATCGCACAAATTATCATCAACTACTCCAACAATGCGGGGTCAACTACCGATCACACTATCAGATCTATACCCGCCGCATTGCTAGAGCATTTCACCAGACTGTTGACAATTCACAAAATGGATCAAAGCACTGGAAAATGATGAATATGCTGAAATGCTTCGGCGAAATCAATTTCATTCGTCCCTATTTTTGAATAGCATTGTTTCATCGTCAAACATTCCCTTCAGAATTTCACTTTCGCCCGTCAGCCCTCTTGGTTGTTCCGATGTTTTCGTTTTAATTATTTTGGAATTCTGTGTGTTCTTTTCGAATTTATGTGGTAAATTCCTGATGGTATCTTGCTATCCTCATGAGACGACAAATATGATGACATTTTTTGTTTTTCGTTTTTTTCGGAAGGCACACTAGATGCAGCGTAATGACCTGGGAGCTTTTAAGCCTACGCATTTCGTGGTCATGCATACAAGATAGTACAATTAGCATCCTATACGAGTGACTGCCTCGACGAAAAATTAGACATTTTGTTTCGGTTTCGTCATGGAGGAAGCTCGAGAGACTTAGCTTTCAAGGAGGGTCGATTCAAGTAAACATGATTGATATCGTGGATGAAAATAGCTTTCAGAAGTGCGTCTGCGAAGAAACATTTCACAGGCAGTTTGACATGGAGGAAAGCAGCTTGCGATTATTGCATTGCTTCGAGGATAAAGCACGCACAAAGAGATTTTCGAAGGAATCAAGCGATTAGCATGAGAACTAAAGAATATGTTCCATGCAATATTGTTAGCAATTAGAGGCAATCGAAGAGAGTAAAAGTGAGTGATGTGAATTTAGGACAGAAATGGCACGAGGTAGAAGGTTTGTGAAGATATCAAGAGAGACTAGATGCTGAGTTTGAGGATCGCGGAAAAAAGGATTAGAAAGTAGCTGATAGGATAGAGGCTTTATAGATGGATATAGATTGTTGGATGAGTGAGTAGTGTTCATTGCAATTGATGAACGCTGATAGACTGCTGCTGCTAGTGGACGTATAACTCGCTCTTTTGCTGTGTAACTATCGCTCGTGCGCCGTTGTGCTGTTGAAGTATCTCGCTGAAGCGTGCTCAATTCGTTACACCGTTTCTCACACTCTCACATGGATATTATTCGCTTCTCGTTATGACGTTTTCGTTGAGTTTGTCATCGCTTTATCCGCTGCATTGTTCGTTTTATTGTTATTATGCGTTGAAGTCAAACATATTCTTCAGTCAGTGTTTCTTTCGTTCACTGAAGTTGTTGTTATCGTGCCATAAAATTACATAGCATCACCCCCCCCTTCCCGTGTTGTTATCTCCGTAATTATTGAACATTTTTTTCAGCAGCCTCATCGCAGTTATGAATTCGTGAAACATTTTGTGGAATTCTACGCGTAAATGAGGCTAGAAAGATGTTTGAAACCTAGTTATAGTTGATTAGTATTGGGAATTTGAGCAACCTGAACCACGCAAACAATTTAGTGTTCAGTGCTATCGAATGCGTCATAGGCATTTTGGTGTATTCAACTGTGTGTTGTGATCTCTCGTCGTTTGTTTATCACATACACACACACATATGACATATTATAAACATTCACTGATATACGAAACGAATTGGCTATAAAGCGGCACTGAATTTGCCATTTTTCATTGACATTCCATCTTTCCAGCGGTAATTCAAGGGATTTCTCATGTGCTTATTGTGGTGATGTTAAATGCACTGTTAGTTTGAGTTGAAATAGCGCCTGCATAGGTTTGCCAAGACACAGCAGATCAGCTGATTTGTAGCATTCTTATCGAGGAACATCTGTAGGGAGTGGGAGGAGGATGGTTTTCGCGTTGAATAGTTCCTGTACTCATCAGTCACAAATATTATTTTCGTTCGATTTTTTTGCTGCCACAGATAATGCCGGATCGATCGAAAGGGCAAGCACTGCTCCGCACTTTCTTTTATTTTTATCGGTATGAGAAACGTTCTGTTTACATTTGCTTTCAGATTGATATCCTAATTAGCTGTATGTGATCCGTTTTCGATTCAATGAATCTGATGAAACTAACGTATTAATACTACTAATCCAAAAATTACTCACATCGTCATAATTATTCACAATGCAACAAATATTCTATGTATTCGCTGTTCTTGTTCACTGTATTGCTGCCGGTGCTGCTGATTCAAATTATACGCATAATGACGTAAGTGGAGTATTTTTCTGAGTTGATTTTTTTGTGATGAACGTTCATCCCTTCATTATAAATGTATCAGTTTCATGAGGTGATCCAACATAGAACCGTGTCAATCATGTTGATTTATTTGCCTATTAATTGTTGAAAAAATCGTGATGGTTGCTAATTTATGATAATTTATGATTGAATGCAGGCGGCAATCACAATTCAGAATTTTTCGATCTAACGAGCGCATGCTTTCAACGAAACCTGATGCCCAAGTTATTTTCTCGATAACGCATTAGGAGCTAAGCGATGGCTCTGTCGCATACACGAAACACTTTCTTTTCCCAGAAATCCTCGAGATGAATGATGAATGTTCGTGTGCGATAGATTAATTTCATTCACGTGAATGTTTAATGATACTTTAGTTTTTGATGAATGACGTCTATTGAATACGTACTAAAAATTGATTAAAGATATCAGCTGAGGGGCCGGCCATGATGTTGTGGTTGCGTTTGCTCATTAAATTACCCATTCAGGATCCTCCATCTGAACACACCAATCCCATTGGCAGTGACATGCAGCCTGCTGAGGAAATAGTAGACACCACTACTGATGATGTCAATTCGAAGCCAAGAACAAATCAAAATAACGGTATTTTCAGAATCATTTGCACTATGAATTTTCATTAAGCCGAGGCACTATGAATAAGCCGTCTCTTTCATTAAATGGGATAAATTAATGGTTCTGAAAGGAAATTTGTGTAAAATTTTCTTCCGAATGATCCTTTACGAAACTATTCTATTGGGACAATTGATACAGTTGATGTTCAAATGTTTTTATCCCTTATTTTGGTTCATAGTCGTTGCAAAAATCGTTCTCGACTTTTAACGACTTCATTTACCATTCACATGCTCTTCTCAGTTTTCTTTATGCACCCTTTCTAAAACACCAATTTAGTTTTATTGCAAGACTTGTTGAATTCAGATTTTGGCTAACCATTCAGATGAACACAATTCGAAAATTTTCAAAGTCGAACTAAAAATTTTCGAGTTTATTGGAAAAATTAGGTTATTTGGTTGAAACATTCCAATTATTCATGGTGCAATTGAATGTTACAGCGACTGTGATAGTGTCGGAGGGTGAATGTTTGAATGGAGGCACTTGGCTATCGTGGTTCGGTTTATGTGCATGTCCATATACACATTACGGACGACGTTGTGAGTTACATCGTTGTATGAACGGGTTTTTGAAAGCTGATGGAACGTGCCATTGTTCGAGCAGATACACAGGAGAATATTGTGAAAAACTGCGGTGTATCGGAGGAAAAATCATATTCGGTTAGTAGAATTTTTTTGCGGTTGAGATTCACTGAACCGTCTGTCTTATTCTCACTAGATGTCAGTAATAATTGTGGAATTGGATCAGATCTAAATATAAATCTTCATCGAAGTACTTTTCACTGAAGGAAGTTTGACAGGTTCTCATTAAGCTTATTTAAATAATTATGGCTACGGACACGTTCTGTGTATTTGAGCGTCTGAAATGTCATCTGTTATCATGAGCGTGAATTATACGGTTGATTGAATTCATGGGGATGAGTGTCATATTAGTTGGTATACTTCAGCTCTTAATTGAAATGTTTTTAGTTCGGAACGACCGATAAAATCAATTAATTAGTGGATTGAGAGACGTCTCTGTCTAATTACTATTTATGAAATTACTGCAATCGTTTAGTAATGAAGCATTTTCGTTCCTACATGATGAGCTGATTCAAATTAATGAATAAAAATCCTTCGAGGGAATGAATGAATGAATGTTTTTCTTTTGTTCAATTTGGTAGCAGTGATTCCTCATTTATTAGAGAATAAATACTGAATTCATTTGCTTCGTTGTGTTCAATTGTTGAAATGATTTCATTTTTAACTAAGCTTTGACTTCATTCCATAGATAATAATCCTTGTTTTTTTTTGTAAATTTTGAGTTAATTATTTTTCGGCATCCTCATTAACAAATCTTCAGTTCATTTTGTTTGATTTTAAAGAGTTGCTGCGTATAGATTGGTTGTTTGTGATACTGACATTTAAGGATACTGACATTTAAGGGTTATTCGTGTCTGTGATAGTGACGTTTAAGGATATTGAAGTGGTTCTTGTATGCTGCTGGAGATATTACTGTTATTATTATTATCATTGTTGTTAATGTTGTAGTAAATTTTACTCAGTGTTACTGTTGACACTACTTATTTCAGGGGAATGTGTATGTTTTGGCAGTTACTTTGGAAGCAGCTGTGAATATATATGTGAGCACGGTGTTTTGGTGAATGGTCATTGTACGTGTTATGATGGTACGTATTACACTGAATTTATTTTTTAATGTATGGTCACGATGAAATCTGGAAAACAGTAGTCATTTGATTTATCGTGAAAAATCGAACAACTTTAACACTTCAAAAGTTTTGTCCCATATCCGATCGCTGAAAGATTTTTTTTGTCTTCACCGTTCAATGCCCAAAGCAAAGGAAATCGTTTGACGGAAGTTTCAAGAGAATCTGCAATTGCATTATTTTGAAGTGTGATGAATACTTATTGTACTCATGATTGTCCTTATTGTACTCATGATTCGTTGTGGAACTTTTTTGAGGAATTTTGGAGATACGTTTCTTTTTTGATATTGATATGGGTAATAGAAATGAAAAAGTGATCGCACTTTTGTTTTCATGCACACTCACAGTCAACTGACAATGAGCAATAGGCGATCTTGAAATAATTAGTTACAATGCAGCGTTTTCGTTTTGTGGACTTTATTTCGTTTTTGCCTAATGAAATTGATTTTCTGGACAGAGAGAATAGCAGTTTGAGTCCTAATTGTTCGACAATAAAAAACAAATTTTATTCGATAAATATTCATTAAATGGAAAGCGATGTAATTAAATGAAAACATTTTCTGTATCTCAGGGAAGAAGTGTATGTAATTTGACATTTGATAGGGAGCAAAGTACGTCGTCTTAAGAACAAAATGAAAGGCTTGACATTATTGAATAGTTTCTGTAATGACATAAAAATGAAATAAAGTTTTAACTATCATCACATCGGAACATTTTCTCATCGCTGATTTTTCTAAAGTGAAAATTTCTGGACAAGGAGAATTCACTCACCCATCCATCAATTACGGGCGTGATTGTGCATGGACATTTTTAGTGGTAATAGAATCATTTAATTGAATTGAATTCAGTGATGAAAACTGATTTGGCGCATATTTGAGGGTATACGGGATTGACTTGCAATGAATGCAAAACGGATTACGTTGGTGTGACGTCGAGTGAATGCGGTGAAATAATGCGTCGACGTAAGCCTGTGATGCAGTCGCGATTCGCTTTAAGTGGTCTTTCGCTTTGTCTTATCACCATTATTCTGCTGTGGATTTCTGTGGTTACGAGGTGCTGCTTTTCAATGACGCTTCATTTTATTGGTTGATTCTGTGTCATTTGATCAACATGAGGAGTGAATTAATAAGTGAGATAATACGGGGAATTCGAGTGCTTAATGATGCGGTATTGGAGATAAGTGGTGACATATCTATTCGATATATTAGTCGTTAAGGTTTAATGCAATAGCGGAGTTGATAATGAATATTGTGCAATTTAACCTGAGATTGATACTGCAGAAGAAGACGAACGATGATAGCTGCAAATCATTTCGAACGTTTAGCAAATGAACGCTTATTGCGAGAGCAACAACGACGACTGTGTGAGCGTCGTGCTGTAGCGGTTCAAGTAATATTTTTTGTGGTGTATTTATTATTTGTTATATTCAGTATAGCTGAATTTGTTATTTTTTGTTGTTGTTATTATGGTACTGGGAAAACTGTCCCTTAGATAGGTGACATCGTTAGCGGCTATTCCCGAACAATCACCTTTGATGACAATTGTCTTGAGTGGCAGCTATTCGAAGGCAGTTGTGATGAGAACTAATATTGTATTTATTTATTGTTTAATGTCTGAGCGAATATTTTTGTTGCATTTAGTTAGGCATGCAATGAATGCTTCAGTGAATTATCAAGGTTGACATTTCGATCGTAAGAGACAGAAGAAGTTGATGAGCATTTTAGCGTGTTTGAATTTATCGAGTATCGAATTCATTGAATGCAGGAATTGTATTACTTTTCTCATTGATGAAGTCACTTCAGATGCTCTTTTTGTTTTTGAGTTTGTCAAATGACAGAAATGTTGATGTATTAATTGTTGAATGATTTTAACAGGTATCACGTACACCAACGAATCACGCAATATGTGAATTCAGAAACTTTATATCGCCGTCGTTTTATAATATCGACACTAGATTGCTGAACAATTTACGCGCTCCACGTTTGAACTTTAACTTGACCACTGGTAGTGCGAGAAGTACGACTGCAGGTAGTAGTAACAACACTGGAAACGAAACGCCACCGCCCGGTTATTATTATTGACATTTTTCATTATTTTTGCTACTGTT